GTTTATCCACAATCTGTCGATGGACACTTGGGTTGTTTCCACCTTTTGGCTATTGTGAATGATAATACCATGAACAATGATGTGAAAGTACCTGTTTGAATTCCTCTTTTCAATTTTTTAGGTACACCTGCCAGTGGAATTGCTGGGTCATATGGTAATTTTATGTTTAACTTTTGGAGGAACTGCCAAATTGTTTTCCATAGTGGCTGGACCATTTTACATTCCCACCAGCAACATATGAGGGTTCCAACTCGGAATCTGATGTCTGAATCTGGACTCCACCCCCCACTTTCTAGCCACGTGCTCTAGTTTCCTCCTTTGTAAACTGAAATGATGAGTGTTTTAGTTTCCTATGGCTGCAGTGATAAACTGCGACAAAGTTAGGGTCTTAAATCAACACAAAATTATCTTACAATTCTGGACATCAGAACTCTGAAATGGGTCTCATGGGGCTAAAATCAAGGTGTTTGGAGCTGCTTCCCACTGGAGTCTTGAAAGGAGAATCTGTTTTCTCGCCTTTTCCAGCTTTGGGGCTGCCGCTGCCCGTGGCTCATGGCCCCTTCCTCAGCCTTCAAAGCCAGCAATGGGCAGTTAAGTCCTTCTCACATCACATCACTCCAACAATGACTCTCTTGCCTCCCTCTTCTGCTTTTAAGGACCCTTGTGATTACACCGGGCCCACCTAGACAATCCAGGATAATCCTGCTACTATTTTAAGGGCAGCTGATCAGCAATCTCATCTCCATCTGCAACTTTAAGTCCCCCTTGCCATGTACCTGACCTAGCCACAGGTCCTGAGAATAGGACAGTGACATCTTTGGGGGACATTATTCTGCCCAACGCAACAGTAGTAATACCTTCCTCATGAGGTTGTTTCAAGGATTATTTGTATTTCTAAAGTCTCTCCATCCCTCGAAATATAGTCCTGAAGACTGAACTCATTTAAAAGGTCTCTCCAGGGGGTGGAGAGAGGGGGAGTTGGGTGAAGGCAGTCAAAAGGTACACACTTCCAGTTATGAGATAAATAAATACTAGGGATGAAATGTACAACATGATAAATATAATTAACACTGCTGTGTGTTATGTATGAAAGTTGTTAACAGTGGATCCTGGGAGGTCTCGTCATAAGGAAAATAACCACGTTTTTGCTTTTTCTTTTACTTTGAATCTATATGAGATGATGGATGTTTCCTAAACTTGTTGGGGTAACCATTTCATGATGCGTATAAGTCACATGATTATGTTGTACACCTTAAACTTATACAGTGCTGTAAGTCAATTCTAGCTCAATAAAACTGGAAGAAACATAAAATAGAAGGTCTCTGCCTTAATTTACTCAACAAATACCCATCGAGATGGGTTAATGAAACAAAGCCTATGAAGTATTTAGAGCCTGGTACCCAGGAAGCACTCAATAAATGTTACCCATCATCACTTTATGTTACTCTTAATTTTATAATCCCTTTTAGCAATACGGATGCAGCCACAATAATCCACTTCTCAGTCTGAACCTTCTGATATCTGTCTTCCTAAAACGCAGAGAAGCATTGCTTTCTTTTCATAACTATCAAGTCCAGCATGGCCTCCTCATCACCAGCCCATCTTCGTGTTAAGGCAGAAGTAGACCTAGAGGGTGACAGCTCCCTCACCACCTGCCCCACCTGCTGGGAGACGAAACACCTGCCAGCCAGGGGGGAACCCATCATGCCATCTGCTTCTAACAGTGGAGCTGAAGCTCCCACCACGGAATTTGTAGTCTGTGTTCAGGCTCTGTCCTTCACTCCTCCCGCCCGAGGGTCTGCAGCCCGAGTCCCACACGCTCTCAGCATGGTTCTCTGCTCTTGATCTGACACAAAGCCTTCTGGCAGGTCCCCAGTGCCAGCCTCATAGAATGCACCGATTCCAGACAGAGGAAGACGGTTCTCACTTAAAGCGGGCTCCATCCTCCATCGGAGCCACACCTCCTAAGGAAGAGGCTCACCTCCGCTTCTCGTGCCGTTGGACTTGGTCTAATGTCACAGAATGAAGTGGGTGAGCACGGACCGGATGGGGCCCCGAGGTTTATTTCTAAGTAGCTACCTTGATATTACGGATCATGAGGTTAACTTGGACTTTTTGTTTTTTCAGTGAAACAAGTATTGTCTTTTATTGTATTTGTTTCTCAGTTTTAATATTTTTTTCCCTTTCTATCTCAAAATTTTGCTTAAAACTCTCAGTCAGTTCAGGCTAGAACCTTATAACAGACACTCTACTCATTTCCCACGCTGCGCTCTAGTCCTTGCTGAGACCGGAGGCCAAGTCCCCCTTGACGCTAGTGCCTCTGCCCCATGGTCAGCAGGCTTGGAGGCGGGGGAACCTCAACACCAAGGTCTTCGGGTCCAGAACAGTGAGCGGGCCCTGGGTTCGGCCTGCTGTCCAGGAGGCTGGTCTGTGCTGCCCAGAGGTCACAAGGAGACTCTGGAGCTGGGAAGAGCTGTGAGCGGGCAGAAGTCGGGGCTGGAGTAGGGACAAGCCTGCCCAGCTGGGAGGATGCCTCCCACGGGCCTGGAGGGCTAAGCAGGCCCTCTTTCAGTCTGTCTTCCCCGGCACAGGAAGAGGCGGACTCACCAGTACTCAGGCCACTCTGTTCTCAGTTCAGACCTTTGAAGTGCTTTAGTGAACATCTCCAGGCTTCTCAGTAAAGCCTCTTTCCTCCCAACATGGCAGGCAAACCCGAGTCAAGTGGCTCCCATGTGGGCTGCAGGAAGGCCCCCTTTGGTGTGCTGTTGTGTGTGTACCCTGCACGCCCGAGGTGGGAGCATCAGAGACCCCCAGGCATCGCCCCGGTCCCTCCCTCCCGAGAGCATGTCCAGGCCCCCTGCTACCTACCACCGCAGCTCTGAGGTCATTCCCGTCCCAGGCCACCTCCAGCAGGGCGACCTCACGCCTGCTGCCCGGCTGCGGGGGGTCCCCTCCTCCCATTCATCAGCTCCTGACCACAATTTCCTTCTGTCACCTCAGAAATCATAGTTTCTTCCTGGTGCCCTCCTGAGTTTTTCTTTCATCTGTCTGAGAACAGTCCATCCCTGCTAATAAATCAGCCAGAGGGAGGAAGGAGAGCATCTCTAGGCCTTTCATCTTCTCTGGCACCGAAAAAGCAGTTCTCACCTAGGCAGGTACAACCGGCTGTCACCACTGCCTATATTATATATAGCCTGTGCTGAGGGCTTGCTTTCCTGCCCTAAAGCCCATTTCTTAGATCTCCAGATAAGCTAACAGCCCCTCCTGGTTCCCTCTGAAAACTCCCCAGCAAAACTGCCAGCAACTGCATGCTTTCTGGACTGCTGACATTGTTCCAGGGTCAAGGGTGTGCTGGGGAAGGCGGCTTCAGAATATACTATACACTGGTGATCCCATTGGTCCAAATCTTTTATTAACTGCATCCTCTCACTACAAACCATGCCAGGTGATTGATTATCTGACGTTGTGTCCTCAACAGCATTGAGAAGTGGGGAATACCATTAATTTGGCCCACTTTTTGGTTTTGCCATTGATTTTATTTAGGAAGTCGAGGCTTTCTATGTTTACTTTATGGTTCAAGAGATTATGGACAAAAACACCAACATACATAAATGATGAATAATTATACTAAAAATGGCATAAGTAAGGTTTGGATTCAGTAAGAGCCACAAAAGAAAAGAAAAACACGGTGGTTAAATGAATAAGACACAATAATTGTGACAGTGAGAGGGTGAGAGAAAGAAACTCAGGGTATTCTATTTCACAGATGACAGCTGGGTTCATTTTAACTAAAAGCTCTGTACTTAAAATAGGAATACATACTGAGTACATAAAAGTTATTTGATGGGAGAGTTCAATTTGGCCATTCTAAAATCGTTGAATAGCTATAAAATTATGTTCTCTATTCAAGTGAGGTTTAAAAACTTGAAGAAAACAAGTCTTTAAATACTGTAATTGTTAGTTATTCAGGTTGTACAGTGTATTTTACACCAAATTATAGTAATGCTGGGCCTTAATCATGCCATGAGTCTAACGTTTTAGCAATTTTCATTGGGTATAGATTAGAGATTATTAGTGGGGCCCATACGAGCTTCTTTCTGTAAATCAGGAGATCAAACGAAATGGTCTTGGGACAGGAACTCTGCTCTGGGATGCGTCTCTAACTATGATCCAGGTCACAGGTTGGTGACCAGAGAGTGCTCCACCCCCGGGAGCACAGAGCATCAGGGGACCCCAAGAGGTCTTGGAGCCCTGTTCCCAGCGTTGCTGTGAGGCTGCCATGAATGGGCTTCGCCATTCAATTATAAGCAATGCCGGCAACAAGGATTCACATCCACTTGTCACCAGGAAGGTTTTAAATACCAAGGTCATATACATTTAACCATAACTTTCATTTAACAGCCCTTTCCAAAAGAGCAACTCTTTGCTGGAGAAACACAGAGTCTACATGTATGTCAGCAGGCCCAGGAATCTGAATTGGCGCCCAGGGAGAATCTGCTGGCAAAGTCGTGATTCTCTCCTCTTAATGAAAATCATCAGAGAGAGAGCCAAACTCGACTTCAGGTGCAGATCTGGCAGGATATTGACTGACCAGAGCACAGAGCCCTGGTGAAAAAAGAAAACAAAACCCAAAAAAGAGGAAAAAGAAACAACAACAACAACAAAAACACCCAAAAAGCTCAACTGTTTTTCTGTTCAAAATTTCCTAATAAAAATATATTTCAGTACTATTAAAAATTCAGTTTTAGTTAGTCTAAAAAACTAAGCCTTTGGTTGCCATTAGAGAGCAGTATTTTCTATAAACTTCTATGGATGATTCCGGCAGGAGTGGGGTGGAAATAGTAGTCTGTTAGGGAAGGTTATATGAGATGCTGTTCATCTTAACAGCAGGCTTCACTCTGTGAGGTCTGGCCATTCAAAGGGTCCCCTCTTCCCTTCCCCACTGGACCCACCCCCTCCTACAGCAGGGAGGATGGAGGCAGCTTTTGTTAGTATGATACCTGCCATTCCTGGTATCGTGTTGCCGCATATTCTTGATAAAATGAATCTTCTTAAAGTTCTTTGGTCTGGGCGAACCTGAGAGAGTACGACATCTGAAAAATAAAGCCATTTCGAAAACACAGTCAGTTGCCCGTGGACAGCTGAGACATCTCCAGACAAAGACAGGAAGGAAAGACCAGACTCAATGGTTTGAGTAACCCCAAGGATATGAGGACTATATGGCTGGAAGCAAGGAAGCTTTAAAAAAAAAAAACCCAAAGACAGACAACTTCCTCGATAATACTGATAATAATTTATATGGGTCTCTGAAGATGCTAATGAAAACTACTGTCCTCAGTTAAAATAACATAACTTACACAAATTCCAACGACTTTATTTGTTCCTGTCATCTTAAAAAGAATCCTCCTGTATCAACACAGGTAACGGGAACAGAAAACTGTAAATTTAAAGAATCCAGAGGGGGAAAAAACACTGGAAAATTCAGTTTAAAAACAAGCCCGGGGCTTCCCTGGTGGCGCAGTGGTTGCGAGTCCGCCTGCCGATGCGGGGGGCGCGGGTTCGTGCCCCGGTCCGGGAGGATCCCATGTGCCGCGGAGCGGCTGGGCCCGTGAGCCGTGGCCGCTGAGCCTGCGCGTCCGGAGCCTGTGCTCCGCAGCGGGAGAGGCCACAGCGGTGAGAGGCCCGCGTACCGCAAAAAAAAAAAAAAACAAGCCCGAATTATTTTTCTTCTGTAGCAGGACTCTGGCCTGAATTACCTGGACTACTCCCTCAACATTCAACTTGTCTCTGCCTGGAAGTCGCAGCTTTACTTTGAATGAGAATCAGAGACTGAGACCCAGCTAGTGGCTGTTTGGTTTTTTTTAAAAAGATAAATTTAAAATAAATATATGTTGAACAAATTGACTTGGATTCCTATTAATTTTACCTAGAATGTACAACATGTGTTTGCACTACAGGAATGACAGAACAAACCACAGGCTGAAAAGATCTTATTTGTGTATATTTTTTCAAAGGTACCTGGCAAATTCTAAGATACACAACTGCGATAACAACTGGGAAAAAAGCAAAAATCCCAGCAACTGAGAATCTGAAGTTTGGTGTTGTATTGAGAAAGGGAGCAATGACTTTTCTAGTTGGGTTTTTGCTACCAAATATTTTTGTTTACCTTTCTGACCATGGACCCCGACGGCTGGCTCCTGGCATCAGACATGGGTGCCTGAGACCTTATGCTTCAGAGAGTGAGCTCCAGAGAAGCAGTGGCCGGCTTCCCAAAACCACACTAAGGTCCAGGCCATCACCCGAGTTCAGTCACTTCTGAACTCTGAGGCTTCAGGTAAGAGAATAACAGGATGACCCAACGAGGAGGTACAGTTGAGGGCAGGTGGGGTGTATGGGCCCATTGGTGGCAAAGGATTAGGGAATGGGCAGCATCACAGATCTGCCTATAGCAGCTTGAATCTGTAGTCTCCTCCAAGGGCTCCCCTCAAGGGAAATTGGGGGATAGCCCTGGGCTAGGCTAGGTGCACAGCTCCCAAACCCCCTTACCTGCCCTCAAGTAAGGGCCAGTCTTCCTATAAGCCCTTTCCCAGAGAGTGCTGAAAATTTTTTTTTTTCCTTAAGAAACAGCACCTTAAAATGTAATTTAACTTGAAAAAAATATATAGTAAAGTGAATGAGGGAAGGTCAAAGCAAAGACATGGTAGCAGGTATCCATCCGGTGGCTTTCATCGGGGAAACGGGGCTCCCTGGGCCTTGGATCTAGAGGAAGGAAGGCTCTCTGCCACTCATGTCCATTCCACCGGAGCAGGGTTCACAGCACATGTCCACAGCCTGAGTGGCCCTCCCAGCATCCACCACAAACTCACTACCAGCCCTAGTGACCTATTACTAGTAATATTTCAGATCCCTCCCTGGACATGTTGTGAGGATTAAATGTGATGATTTCTGCAAGAGCTTCATACAGTGTCAAGTGACACGTTCAAATACAAATATTCACATTCATACATATGTACACACATTCATATACACATTTCAAGTGTGTGATTATTATTAATACCTTTAACTACAAAGGGTGCATATTTTGTTACTGTTTGCCTCCTGTACTCAGAAAACCACAGCCCTTATTAAGGGTCCTGAATTCTTGGTTTTAAATAGATTCTTTTAAAGACATGCAGAGGGACTTCCCTGGTGGCGCAGCGGTTAGGAATCTGCCTGCCAACGCAGGGGACACGGGTTCGAGCTCTGGTCCGGGAAGACCCCACATGCCATGGAGCAACTAAGCCCGTGCACCACAACTACTGAGCCTGCGTGCCACAACTACTGAAGCCCACACGCCTAGGGCCCGTGCTCCGCAACAAGAGAAGCCACCGCAATGAGAAGCCCGCGCACCACAACGAAGCGTAGCCCCCGCTCGCTGCAGCTAGAGAAAGCCCGTGCTCAGCAACGAAGACCCAACACAGCCAAAAATAAATAGTATAAATAAAAAAATAAATTAAAAAAAAAAAAGACATGCAGAACCCTGCCTGAGGGCATTTTGTGGATGCTTCCTGTGGACCTCAGGAAAGGTTTGAATAGGGAAAAGCACCCACTAATGCCCCTCCCTACTCCAAGCCTCCGAACCCAGATTCAGCCTTCTTGGGGTCCAAGAAGATTCAGCCTCACTCAGCCTTCCTGGGGCAGCTCTCTGGAAGCAGACCCAGCACCTCAGACTGCCTCTGTTCTACCTCCAGAATGACTGTTAGAGTCTGCAGGCCACCCAAGGTCCCCAATTGTCTCTCTCACACACAGCAGAAGGTCCTAGAACTATGTAGTCCCTGGAGAGAGGAGAATCCTTGAAGGCATAAATGTGTGCTATCATTGGCTGCTGGACCGTTGTTCAGGAGCATCCTCACATCCTTACCCAGCTTCCCCCCAAAATGCAGAGCTTCCTGGGTCCCCCAGTCTGAGGGCAGGGGGCTAAGAGCTAGACGGTGAGGATACCTTCCTAAGACCCCAAGCTGCTCCCTGCCTCCACACCTGCAGAAAGAGGTGCTGTTACCCTCAGGTTTGTGCACAAGATCTCCCAGCCTTCTGCTGAAACCGGAAGTCGGCAAAAGGGGCACAGGTGGCTTTCGGCACCAGTAATTACTTAATGGCACGGCAGCCCGCACACATCAACTGAGACAGGCTGGAAACTGGGGCAGGTGGTGACGGCTGCCGCATTTGCTGCAGCTGAACTGAGGTTTTTCTGGACATCTAACAGAGACATCCTAGGTCCTTATTTCTGGGATACCAGGTAACCACCAGGCAAAGTGGAAAACCCCAGTGTAAAGCCTCTCATTGCAAATGCTCAGTCCTTGGAGTTCAAGGTGGATACAGGAAACTAACCTGTGATGTGCAAGAGAAAGGCAAGACTTTTAAACAGATAACTTAACAGAGGTGCTTTCTTTCGATACGAGCATCCAATTCTAACTGCATATGCTACTGATATAGCCCTTCAATCAGCAAGTTGTTTGTTGTCTTGTGTTTTTTAAGCATTCAGCCTCCACACACCCCCCCCCCCCCCCTAAGAAACGCTTTAAGAGAATTGTGGCATTAACAACAATTGCCAAGGAAACTGGAAGACTAAGCACTCAGGTTATGGCAGGTTAAGCAAAGAAGGAATTAATTTCAAAGCCATCTGCACTGACGTGTAAAAATACCCATTTAAAACCATACATTTTAAGTGATGTAAAATTAAATTAGGATAGAATTAAACTGAAAACTAATTTAATGAAAGATTAGCTCTTTCTTGTTAGCACTGATTGTGGGATACACTTAATTATGCAAAAGATTTTTAATAGATGCCTTGGAGCCGTTTGTTCTAGGTGCTGAGTTTAAAAGCAAGTTGGGCTAATAGCCTTCCACCTCCGCAGTTCCCAAAACACTTCAGCATCATTACTGGTACATTCATTTCACAGAATCGGGGAGCTGGAAAGGACAGAGATCAGCTGATCTGCCCCTCCCATTTTACAGGTGGGAAAACCGAGGCCCCAGAGTAGGTAAGTGAATTTCCAAAGCCACATAACCAGTTGATAGAAGAATCAGGCCCAGAATTCAAGTCCCCTGACTCCCAAACTAATGCCCCTTCTGCTATTTTTATTTCTTAGGAACAAGTAAGTTTCTAAGTAAATATCAGAATTTTTTATTGAAGTATAGTTGATTTACAACTTTGTGTTAATTTCTGGTGTACAGGAAAGTGATTCCGTTACATATATATACATAAATATATATATATATATATATATCCTTTTCTATTATGGTTTATTACAGAATATTGAATACAGTTCCCTGTGCTATACAGTAGGACCTTGTTGTTTATTTTATAATAGTAGTTTGTATCTGCTAATCCCAAACTCCTAATTTATCCTTCCCCTACCCCCTTTCCCTTTGGTAACCATAAATTTGTTTTGTATGTCTGTGAGTTTGCTTCTGCAGTAAACATCAGACATTTTTCAATGAAAAAAAAGTCCATTAGGGAAAATAAGGACTTCTTAAACTGCCAACTCCCTTGCTTTCAGACTTACTTTTAAAACTTTATATATTTACACAATATTTGTTGAAAATTAAGTATAGCATTCTGTAAGTAAGGGTTGGATGAAGTTACAGTTAAGGCAGATAAGCCATTTTTACTCTGCCCATCTGTGCTATCACAGGACTGAGGGGTAGAGGACCAGCCTGGGCAGATTCTGAAAGGAGGGTCCAGGGGTGATGGGGCCCATGACCAGGAACACAGCGCCCAGCTCCTTCTCTGGCCCCCCTTTACCACCTGGAATCCCTGAGGTGACATTTTAGAGCCTGTGACTTTTTTTTAACCTGATTTCCTTGGTCACAGCTACCACATTGCTCGAACGACCACGGCTCCTTGCATTCTCTCCAAACTCCAGGGCCTTTGCAGTTCTGTTCATTGATTGGCATCAACTGTACTCAAATGCCAAAGCCACTCGGTGCCACCAGAGAACGTTTCTCCCTGACGCTCGCTGATTACTTTGGGCCACTTAATAGAGACTGACAGAAGAACACTTGTACCCAGGCCACGTGGATCACACAGCCACACAGCATCAGCCTAAGATGGTCCCAGAGGGTACGTGTGTTTTCAAAAAGACTTCAAAAGTGGAAATCGGACTGTCTGGCCCTGACTTTCTCTTTGGAATGATGTCGGTGATGAGATTCACAGTCACTGATGCTTCCAATCAGATCCCAGGCCTGGCCTGTCTATGCTCCACCCTTTATCCAGGTGGTCTGTGGAAAAGACTCGTGACCTGGGGGTGAAACTCCAGGCAGGGAAGGAGCCCGCTCCAGGGGGAGATGCCTCCCTCCACCTCAGCATCCTCCCAGGCTCAAAGGGAGGAGCCAGGGACTCCCAATCCCTGGCCAGCAGCCAAAGCATGCATGAAGGGTGCAGATGCGGGTTCCCGTAGGAGCTGGTGCGAGGGCATGAGAGCACACACCCTCCCTCGGCTCTGCCCCATCTGCAGCCTGCCACGCATCCCCTGTAAAGCCACAGCGTCCCACAAGGTCCCGTCTTGCCTCAGCTCCTCCTGCACAGCCAGCTCAGCTCGGGCTGCGGTGAGGGCTGCAGGGGACGCAGTGTGTGTCTCCTGAACTCCAGGAGGGCCAGGTGGACCAAGGCGCAGATTAGAGGAAGGAGAGCTGCCAGTCAGAGGCCCGGCACAGCTCAGCAACTGCTGTCACCCAAAAAAAGATGCTTCGAAAGCACTTTTCTAATCCGGAGGGAGAAATGGAATGCTTTCAGCCCCAAGGGAGCACTCACAGCTGACCTACCTGAGTTTCCCAGCACCTGGCTCTGGAGGAACATTGTGACACCTGCTAATGAAGTCAGGGACTTTGACTACTGTGTCCCCGCGCCTGAGAAAGGCAAGTGACGCAGCAATTTTCAAGAGGAACAGGTAACCGCACCTGAATTCACATGCAAACTGGGCTATTCTGATACATAATTGGGATTTCATAGTGTTCCAGTTCTAATGTTCCAAAGGGCTGGGGTTTCCAAACAGAGTCTGGGGATCAGATTGTCATTTTTAGAATTTAATTCTGTAGATCAAAAACTAAAAAAAAAAATTCAAACTTTGGCCACCACCCTGTATTGCAGGCCATTCACACACACATAAATGCAACCCGAAAACTTACCTCCGTAGAGGAGCGTTCTCCTCAATATCTTCCAGGGTCTCCAAGGACGATCTCTGGGAGATGAGGCGACGTCTGCAGAGAGAGGGAAAAAAAATCTAGGAGTTAAAACTGCATTGTGAAATGGATCAGGCATTTCTATAAAGGTAAAACTGTTCTAAAAAAATAAAGTTCACTAAGAAAAAAATCAGGCAAAAGGTGTTGTAAGAGGCTGCCATATTCCCAGCCTGTACCCTGAATGCCAAGCCCATCTTGGCTTGCTGAATCCTGAGCTTTCTCCCTGGTTGTAGGGCTGCTCTGGTGATTAGGGAAGTGATGGATACTTTTTATGCTGCCTAAAACCAAAAAAAGACAAGGTGCCTCTGATAGTGTATATAACTCTGGTACTGTGTGCACTTTTTCTAAAGCATTAGATAGTACTGTTAAGTATTCAGATATCAGTGGTCTGAACCAGCTTTAGCTGATAAATGTTAAATATTAAAACCGTACTAAATAAAATCTCAAAATCATTAGGAGGCAAGAAAAAACTTATGGTCTCTGGGCCATAATTTTGAAAGCAACTAGAAACAAGGCAGACATTATTCCCCTGGGAGAATTTCTCTGAGACCAGTGAGAATATATATCAGGGCGTGATTAGGCAAAACACAAACTCTTTCCATCTGCTAAAGAACTGCAAACCACCTGCCAAAACCTCCTCAGTCTAGTTTCTTTTGTCATACTGAAATAAGAATGGGTCCTAGTTAATTGAGAATATCTGGTACAGGGACCAGGCGGGATGGTGATTGGTAATTTTATAGCAAATCCGTGTGAACAAGGGCCATCACTTCATAGTAAATGATTTGGCTGAAGGGTGGCGTGGACAGAAAAATATCTGATTGGGTCTTTACCTTGGAAAAAAAATGGGACTAAAATTAGAAGACTATGTCTATTTTGTGTTCATTTGATAACATTTAGGTTAAGAACATGCAATTATAACCATGTTCTAATTTGTTCTAAAGAATAACAAAATGAAACAAATGTTTTTTGCTTTGTTCTGTGTGTACTTTTTCTGACCAACCACACTGATACCTTTTTGCTTCGTGTTTTATTTTTAATAAAACAATCAGAAGGGTCATTTTTGCAAACCATTCGAGGGCTTCATCAATTTTCTCAGAGCCTGTCTTCATGTTTTGACAGTCAAATCCTTTCTAAAACGCTCAGCACACACCTCCCTGCTTCTCTCTCCAGTGAGCCTCGTTTGTCCACATGTGAGACCCAGGAGCTCTCCAACATCACCTTCACTGTCTTCATGACACACTGACCTTCTGCAAGATCTGCAGTTTACTCTGTAATTAACTTATGCTAAACTTCCATTTCTGTGATATGGTATTGTTAGATTTCCAGCAGTCAGTCAGACCAGGGAGACACTGGTCTTACCTGAGGGGGTGGGGAACTGATTTTATAGGTGGGGATTTGAGAGGTGGCCAATTCATGAGTAAGTAGGACTCGCCTGTGCAGCCCCCTAAGTCCAGGGACTCAGCATGCCAGGACCCCTGTGACAACACCTGGCGGCTGTGGCTTTGAAGGAAGTGTCCAGGCCATCATGAGGCACAGCCCCTCTAGGTGCCAGGTCTGGCTGGGACAGAGTCCCAGGCTGGGAAGGGGACAAACCCCCAGTTAGTCACACTCCCACCCAGTGTAGCTCTCAGGGATAGGTGTCCCCATGCTCCCCATCCAAGGGACGGTATGATGCTACAAGTGTGCTGGGTCAGACAGACTCAGATTTCCGTCCTGGAGTCTGGAGGCTCTGGGACCTTAGAAAACTCCTTAATCCTTGAGCCTCAGTTTCCTCACCTATGACATGGGAAAATGAGAGTAAGTAAGAAACAAAGAGACATGAAGTCCTTGGCACAGGACAGTTAATGACCAGGAGCTCCTGGGATTTTGATTGTTACTCCAGTTTCCTCCACTGGGGCTGCAGCCTGACCCGATGCCCTCCCCGCTCAAATGACTGGGGTCAGCCTGGCTGTCCCAGCTCTGGCCGCTCCTCCAACCCCTGCCAGTGGCGAGGTCACTCCCAAATGCCTTGTGCATGAGCCAACCTGTGACACGTGCTCCTTCCACCCCTACACCCCCTTCGAAGCAGAACTAACTTGGTGCCACCTTCGCTGAGGCACTGGCCACCTATAAAATTAGAGCCCCAGGCCTCCATGCACTGTTCTTACTTAATACCAATGTCTCCTCTGCAGCTGTGATTAAAATGATATTTACTCTGTTTATCTGTGGATAACGTTCTGAGTTTCGTTTTTCGATTTTTTCCCTTTTTTTGGCTGCACCATGAAGCATGTGGGATCTTAACTCCCCGACCAGGGATCAAACCCTCACCCCCTGCAGTGGAAGCGCAGAGTCATAACCACTGGACTGTCAGGGAAGTCCCTCTTCTGAGTTTTTAAATCAAAAGTGAAATATTAATTTAAGTATGCACCCCTAAATTGTCATTAGACATAACATAGTCACAGGCAGAAATAAATGTATGGGTTTCAGATCCTGAAAATCCCAACAAATCTTGTCAAACTTTGAGCCTTCCTCTGCAGGCAAATGCAGAGGCACCTGTCACCTCTGCATTTTCAGGTGACAGGTAAACAGACATTTAACATTTGGCTCAATCAGCAGCTGAGGTGACTGCAGCAACTGTGCAGCTTCAAGCTCTCCCTTCCTTCAATTATCTTATCAGAGGTCCCCTGGGAAGCTCTGTGGTTGGCTCCTTGGGCAGTGAAGATACAACCAAGGCCGCAGCAAAGGCCAGGCAGGTGCATCCTTTTCTGCCCACCCACCCGACCAAGCCTGGCCTCCTGGGACCACAAAGCTGATCCCGGCTTAACTCTGTCCTCAAGGAGCTCATATTCAAGGGGGAATCCATGGGACCACCAGCAGGGAATTCCATTAACAACCCCTCAAGCTCCTCTGGCATTTGAGGCTGTCTCCCTTTCCCACCCCAAGAAGAGCATGGCCACCCCTCCAGCTGAAAATGTGCCCAAATGAACCCATGGAGGACACATGAGGACCTGCCAGGCGCCCTGGGGCCCACAGGCTCCCGTCCAACATTCAAACCAGGGGGTTCACCCTAGAAAACTAGGTCAATTCATAAAAGCACACAATCTGACAATTCCCCCATCTAAAACCCCCGGCAATTCCTATGCTGGAAAAGACAGATGCTATTTGGAAAATAATCAAATTAGAATACATCTTTCTATATATTTATAAGGATTTGTTTTCTAAAAGCCAGTACATTTGATATTCTCTTTGTGAGTTGAACAGGTATAGATTCTCTCCCTCTCACACACACAGAGGCACTTAAGGTCTGGATTCCTTAGAGGGAAAAAAATTCAAAACCCAAATGCCCACCTGTTCCTTTAAATTCAGCAGATGTGTGCTTCCCTTCTTCATGAACAGAACTAAGCAATATATTCTTTGAGATGCACAAACAGAGCTTGGAAAGAACTACCACGGATCATTGTAAAGAAACTGTCATATGGTACCAGAAAAACGAAGATGCGATGCCTGCCCTTCCTGCCACGAGGGCCTGCCCTGTGGTGGTGGCTCATCTCTGCCCCTGTCACCCTGCTAAATCCTTCCAAGCTGTGTAGTAATCTTTCCCCTTACCTTCTATCTTCAGAAAGCCCACAGTGGAAGGGAAGGCTAAGGGTGGGTGGCCCACCTTCACCAGGCACTTTTCACCCTGTAATCTGCCTCATAAACCAAGTCCATTACTGTGCAGACTACTTACCATTGGGCACAGTTAGCAAGCAGAGGTCTTTGAATATTTTAATGACTGATGAGGAATACTTAGCCTTGGGCCAAAACAGCATGCCCCCTTATTAACCAAGAAGACATTCAGTAAGAGCCCAAGTGTTATACGTCGAAATCACTAAATGAAAGATTGAGTCCTCAGAATTCAGGGTTCCCCATCTTGTCTGACAATTATAATTTGGGCCCTTCCACACTGGCCACCAACACTTCTGAGGCCGATGTGGTTCACATTCAACACTCATATGTAAGTCAGCCTCCCTAAAGCCCCCAGACTCATTTTAGAATACTACCCTTTGAATGTTGGACTCTGCCTAGGCAAGGAAATTCTAATCCATGACAAGGTTGCCTATCTGGATATACCTACTTGGACCAAATTAATCCACTTATCATTAGGGCTAATGGTTGATTGTGGTGTAAGTCACCGAGCGGTCCTGGGACCCAGAGCTGGTCACAGTGGGAATTATGGCAGCAGAGCCTCACCAGAGTGGACTCTGCGCTCACTAATGTCCCTGCTGACCAGTGAGGCTGGGGCAGGGTCATCCTAGCTCCAGCTGGGCCCAGGGTTTAGGACCGTGATTTAGGACCAAGCTGGGATAAAGAAGGTGACTCCCAGCCTCAGCATTGGTGTCAAACAAGTAAGTCGAGTTGGATCAATGCTCTCCACCCAGGGAACATTAATAATCTCTGGGGGAAAAACACAAGCTTTGGGAGCAAGAAGGGACCCTGACCATCTGGGCCAACCACTGCTACTCTCACAAAAAGGCAATTTAGCTGTGTGGTTCCCCCCATGTATGGAGCCCCCTTCCTGGCTGTCAGGCCACTGGAGGGCAGGGTTACCTCTTCACAGACGTGAGGGAATGAGGGCCTCCCGGATCCCTCAGTTACACAGGGGATGGGCCAGCTGAGGTCATAATTACTTCAGATCTGTTCCAACTGTTATTATGACCAAAAAAAACCCAAACAAAACCTCCAACCATAAAAATAAATTATTCTTATAGCCACGAGACACCCACAGACTTGTAATTTTTTTTTTTTTTTTTT